CCCATTAAGAGCCCATGGTGATGGACTCAGGGGTTCACTGTCTCCTACAGTGAATTCGGCCAGGCCTTGTAACAAAGGTTGGGCTGAACCCATGTAACTGATGTGTAGATCAATGTTTGGGTCCCACGCCACACAAAGAGAGCCAACTGGGCAGTAGGTTAGGAGGTTAAGTGAGCACATAAACTTAATGGACCTAAAGCCCAATTCGAACTGGGTTAATTAGATTAATTAAATCGGGGAAATCTGGGTTTGGATCAACAGATAAGGATAAGAGGATAAGTCCTATCCACTTAAAGAGTCCAAATCCAAATAAAGATTTGGATCAGGAAACTCCTAATTTGATTAGGATCAAGCTGATCTTAAACTGCAGATAAGATAGGGATTATCCTTATCACTTAAAGAGTCTAGATCCAAATAAAGATTTGGATCAGGAAACTCCTAATCAGATTAGGATGTTGTCTCTTTAAGGCTATAAATAAGAGAGCAGGGCAGACATGCAGAACACACAACAGACATTACAGCAGTCTGCAGAGTTCTCCCCTGTTCTTGCCGCCCCTACCCAGTTCGATCTCCACTTGTGGGAGTGATCAAGAATTGTTCTTGATATTGCTTTTTGGAAGAAGAGGCAATTTGAAGTCGTTCTCACCAGCCCTCTACCCCATTCTTGCTGAAGAATTCGGTTCTTGCTGAAGAGCCATCCTGCTGATCCTGCTTCACCTCACACTGTGCCATCTTCAGTGGAAGCAGTTTTTGGATTTCTCCTTGGGCATGAACACCTTCATTGGGAGTTACTGTTACTCCGTATTAGGTATATCCCTCTCCTCCCTTTTGGTTTCAGATCTGGTCCGGTTTGGTTCAAGATTGATCCTTGAAAATGCAATTTTCTAAAATAGGGAATGCGATTCCCAGATGGGAGAGATAGAAATTTTTTAAATTTCGCCCAACCTTCCTGCAGTTTTCTAAGTGCTTCCATAAGCATAAAACTATTTCAGATGGTAAAAATGTATGCAGATTAACAACATGAGTTGTGTAAATGTGGTTCTAGGGTGCAACTTGGGCAAGCTTAGGTTTGTTAAATTTGAACAATCCCAACCCAAAATCTTGGGTCCGGAGTGAAAAGAATTTAATCAGGTAACTAAGTTGCACCCCTGAATAATTCAAGGTTATATTATTTTTTGAGAAAGTATTACTTCATCACTTCAGAAAAAGGGAAGGATGTACAAACAAGGGCTTAAACAAAATTATCAAAAGCCCACCGAAGAAACAAGTAAAGAATTAGTACTGTATAAAATATCCCTTCCCATACCAGACCTAGCTAAGAAATCAACAATATGATTAAGATATCTTGGAATCCATCTATAGCTGCAATTGAGAGAGGAAGAAATATTGAAGATTTCAGGCAGAAGGTGTGCAAATCTCCAAGGTCCAGAGTTCGACTTCTTAGCCCAGCCATTAAATACTAGATTCACCTTCAATAAGGACAGATTCAAGCTGAAGAGATTAAGCCTGTCCAACAGGCCCTGGACTTTAGCTTCAGATGCATCCTTAGTGGAACAAGGGCCACAAAAAGCCCATATAATATTTCCCTTCTCCATTAGAATGACTCCACCAATCCCATAAACCATGTGACTCTCCAGAAACCCCCTGAAACTACCACCAAAACAAAGGATGATAGCAAATCGAGGCCTTGGAAGAAGGGAAATATTAACATGAAGACCAAAACGGGAGGACTGAAAAATCTCTAGGAGATCCCTATCAACATCACCATAGTTAATTCCCAAGAAATACTTATTAATCATCATCCAAGAATTGACTTGTGACAAGATATGCCTCTTCAAACCTTGCAAGGAGCTAAACCTGTTCTAAAAAGTCTTTTGTTTCATTCTTCCCAGATACTCCACAAGATACATGAATTAAGGCTTTCTAGTAGCTCTTACCTCTCTTCCCTAGCTTACTTCCTTTCCACTAAGCAATGAAATCACAAAAAAAAAGGGAGGAACCCACTGGAAACTGCCTTCATAGATCAGGTTGAGAAATAATTGTCATATAATACGGGCCACCATGAAGCTAATAAGTAAATGTCCAATGGATTCCCTATCTTGAAAATACAGGAAACAAATATGTGGGGAAAAGTAAACCTGCCTTGTCCTCTTCTTTTGCAAGTTGTCATCAGTATTTATTCAACCACAAGCAGCCTCCCAAATGAAAAATCAGATACTTGGGGGAATTGAAGTAAGCCATACCTTCCTGTCTAAGGAGGAAGACGAGAATCCAGCAACCAGCCTATGGAAGAAAGACTTGGAAGCAAAACTTCCATTGGGCTAAGGGACCAAACTAACTGGTCAGGTTTGGAAGGAGAGAGATAGAAATCAAAGAGGAGCAGGAGAAGCAAGGAAACCTGGGATAATTCCTGATCGTTGAGCCCTCTTCAGAAATTGAAATTAAAGGATAAGCCATGATTCTCAAAAACAAGGGTAGAGGCAACAAGGGCATATTTATCATGGACTAACTAAAACAAGTTAGGAAAGGACTGACAAAATGGCAGTGATCCCAACCACAAATCAGTCCAGAATCTAATATGGAGACCATACCCTAAACAGAACCTAATGAAAGGAAGGAAAGAAGAGGAGATTTGGACAATATCTTTCCAAAGGTTGGCAGCAGAGAATCTACTAGCGGATTGGGTGCTGCTCCTACCAAAGTCACTCCTTCCATACTTTCTACAGATGACTGAGTCCCAAAGAGATTTAGGTTCCTCTGAAACCTCCAGAGCCGTTTACCAAGAAGAGAAACATTCTTCTTTGATATATGCCCCAAACCTAGACCTCCTTCTGCCTTAGGCTTGCAAACCGCATTCTACCTTACTACATAATCTCTTTTCTCACCTCCCCCGTCCCAAAGAAAGTCTCATTGAAGATTCTCAATCTGATTCCTCACCTTCGCAAGCACTTTAAATAAGGAGAGAAAAAAGGTGGGAAGATTGGAAAGAGTCACCTTAATTAAAGTAAGCCTACCGCCTTAGGAGATATATTTTTTTTTTCAAGCTCCCAACCTTCTTTTGCACTTTTCCAACACTAGATCCCAAAAGCCTATAGAATTTGGATTTTCACCCAATGGAGGCCCAAGGTATTTGATCGGACAACTCTTAATTCTGCAATCCAAGGCATCCATGAAGGTATTTAATTGCTGATGGGAGATGTTAATCCCAATTATACTACTTTTCCCTAGGTTGGTTCTCAGCACTGTCACTACCTCAAAGCATTTCATCATCTTTTTCAAGTTAAGAAGGTAATCCACTCCATCTTCAAGAAAGAAGATAGTGTCATCTGCATATACAAGGATATTTTATTCCCTACCCACTAAAAAACCTTTGATGAGATGCAAAGAGATTGCTTTATTGAGGAAAAATCAAGAATATTTGTCATCAAAGTGAAAAGAAGAGGGGATAGGGGGCATCCCTACCAAACAAAGAACCAAGCCATTTGCACACATCCCTTCACTCACATAATACACCTTTCACCAAAACCTTTTAACTTCAAAATTATCCAAAGATACATCCAATCCACTCTGTCCTAAAGCCTTTCCTAGACCATTAGTTGTGACCTGACTATTAATATTATCTAATGAGGTTTCTAGAAACCTTTTCTAGATCATTTATAAGACAAAGAACCAAGTCATTTGCAAACATCCCTTCATTCACATAATCCACCTTTCACCAAAACCTTTTAACTCCAAAATTATCCAAAGACACCTCCAATCCTCTTTGTCATAAGCCTTTTCTAGACCATTAGTTGTGACCTGACTGTTAATGATATCTAATGAAGTTTCTAGAAACGATTCTCATGAAAGCAGAACATAACGAAAACCTTGGAACTTCTAAATATGGCATGAGGCACTTGACACTTGCAACCATAAGCAGCAAAAATAGGAATAACAATTTGGACAACTCCCATTCCAAGGGAGAAGTTTCTATAGTAGGCTTTCTCTCTGCTAGTGGGTTTGAGCTTCATATGCAATTGTTCATCACTGTGTAGTGACAACTTGCTTTTTCTCTCTATTGTTGTGTTCTTACATTTTAAAATATTAGTCTTTTTTTTTACATCTTCCTTTATTAGTTTTTTTAATCTTCATATTTTTATAGGTAAAGTGCATAAGTATTTACTATGATCAAAAACAAAAGAAATAAGGAGAAGCCCCCCTGAGTAAGTATTTGCAGCCCATATACATCAACAACTAGCTACCCCGACAAGAATCAATAACAATAACAAGATCAACATGACCAATTGGAAAACTGAGAAAGAGAACTTACAATTGGAAACAAGATCAAAGAGATTTATGAGATAAAAGGAAAGAGAACAATAATATCAGAAGGTCTCAAATGGGTATTGCAAGAAACCCCAGGCTGATCCTTTTTTTCCTAACATAAGGTATAGGGAAAAACCACTTTCAATTGAAATGCTGTAAAACTAAAAAAATCTAACAAATAGTATGCTAGTTATAGTGGAATAAGAGATTGGAGGCTATAGAAGCAAGGCTGGGAGCGTTATAATATTCTTTGCTAACTAAAGCCCAAGAAAAGATCTTAGCAACCGTGTTACTTCGGATTTCATCTGAGAGCATTAAAAAAAAAATCACCTGTTTCTTTCCATCCAAACTGTCCAAAAAAAAATAACAGCCAGAATCATGTACCACAGTACCATCAGTTTACCTTTCTTGTTTTACCCACCTATGTGCCAGCTACTCCAAAGTTATTTTTGGGAAAACCCTACTCAAATCGAAGCAGAAATGGGAATGAACCCATATTTGTTGACTTAAAAAGGGAAATGCACGAACAGGGAGTCAGCCATCTCTGTTTCATACCACAGACGGACCTATGCAATGAATAATCTAATCAGGAATGGCTGAAAACCAAGCTTGAAGTGGGGGGCTGTTCTCAGGCTTTCATCCTTGATTTGGCACCTAGGTTTTGAGATAAATAAGTGCTACTTCTAACTTCTAGTTTATCTTATTGATAAAAAAACACCAAGATGCAGCAGAAGATCCAAAGGAGATGTGAATTTCTTGTATTTTCCTTCTGTTTTCATCTTTCATGTTTCAATACAATTAACCATTACTTATCAAAAAATAGCAATGGGGGGCAGTTCAAAAGTAATCAAAGGGTTAATAGTTTCAATTGCTTGAGCATTACAAGCATAATATAACCAAATAATCAAACTGATAATCAACAAGCACAAAGAAGACAGGAGATGGTAGAAGTTCTTTTCTTTTGTGTTTTGAATACTCATCCCCATGTCATCTATCAGTACAGACTACAGAATACAGTACATCAAACAGATTCTGGGTTTAATCATGCACCTTAGTGTTAAATTGATGTCATAGGAGAAGTACAGACCATGCATCCTCTCTGCAGCATTTAGGAGAACAGAAAATTCGGTTTCCATCTTTTTCTGTCAAAGGTGGTGCAAATGACAGTTTAAACATAACCAACCTATCATAAAATCGACCAAGAAAGACAAAATACAAATTTGGCACCTGTTCCGTAGGGGAACTATGTAGAGAACCATCACATGGCAAAATCTTCAAGGATTTAACTTTAAAGATTGGATGCCCTAAGTAAGAGCCAACACATTCACGCTCCGTTATCACTAAGATATATGACCCTACAAAATACATCAAAAAAAAATGGAATAAGGTCAAAGTAACATGAGAAATGCCATTCTTGGTTTCAAAAAAGAACATGACGAATGCCATTCAAGAATAGAAGACACATAAAAATTGCACTTTAATAAAAGCTCAGAAATTTGTACTCGTACATGTTTTTGTAGAATGTGAACATTGTAAATGAGTAGGATGATCAATTCCACCACATAAACTGATGATATGAACTTCATTATATTGATTTTTGCATCTATGTTACTTCATGGATAACCATTTCATTTTCGGTTTATAAAAGATTAGAAAAAAAAACAAAAAAAAAAACAAAGTTACAAATATGGAAGCAAAGGAAAATACATGGCAGAAGAAATCAAGATTCTTCATAATTTTTAACCACTAGAAGTTTCAGTTTTAATGATTTCTAGTGTATCGAGATATATATACAAAGATGTTCAGTATGCACCAAGTCTGTTAAGCCACCACTATGTGCTTAACCCAACTACACGCTAGTTGTGCTATCAAAATGCTATTACCCCGCAAATAATTGTTCCCTCTAATTACACTGCTTCCGCTTGTTTGGCCAATTTGTCTCCCAAACTATTTTTTAATGGACTGGTTTTTTATTGGACCCCGTTCAGTTCAAAATCAATTTGGATTAATTGGACGGATCAATAAGACATATTGGATTGAATCAATTCATTTCAAATTACTTATTAGATTGGATTGAACCTGATCCGTTTGTAATAAATTTATATTAGATTGGCCTGGGTTGGATTAAGTCAATATCTGGTCCATTAATATAAGATAAGAATATAGGTATTAATGGACCAGATTTGGATTAAAACCAATCTATATTAAAATGAATTTGAACAGATTGGACGGTCTACACATTAAATTGGATCAGTCCAAAATGGTCCAAAAGATTCATTAGATTGGATTGGACCTGGTCCATTTGTAATGGACTCACATTGGACTGGATTGGATTGGACCAAATCCAGTTCAATTGACACCCCTAGTTGGAACCCAATTACAAACAGCTCCCAGTCCAAAATCATATGATTGGTTCTCTTATGGTGTGCCAATGGTATCATGACCCTTGACTTCTACTTTGTATCCACCCCACTACAACGGTACAACCTATGAATTAACCCTTCTATTACCGCATTTCTTGCATTCAACGAACTAGCCAACTTCAGACCTTAGAGTACCTCATACCTGAATCCACTGGTCTAAAATCATGTCCAAGCCTGAGAAATAGAGGATCAGCCAAGCCGGCCCATTAGGCTACTTAGCCTATGAACAAGTCTAATAACCAAATAAGAGAGGAAGGATTATGTGGAGAAAATACCAAAGCAGCAATTATTTGGATAATATGGAAAGAAAAGAATGCCGGAATTATGTGGAGAATGTCAGAATTTTCAAGGAAAAGGAATGGAGCCAACAGGCATTAATTGAATGCATTATTGCTAGAGTGGATTATTTAATTAAAACCAAGGTTTATTAATCTTAATATCAATAAATATTTTGCCATAAAGTTGGAGAATTAAAACAATTAGGAAAATTTTCTATAAACATGGAATTAGTTAATACACCTTCAAAAGATCATTAGAATAAATATAATTGCAAATTTAGGCTCAAAAAACTATAGCAAAGAATAGTATAAATCAAATAAAAAATTAAGAAACTATAACTAATGTGTTTCTCCCTAAGAGTCCAGATCAAATAGTCACATCATTGTAAGCACATTAAATGAACACTTTCAAAATTTTTTGACACTGTCCCTTGAAATACCCCCAACCTACCCTTGAGAAAGATTAAAGACAACTTTTAACAGTTGTCAGAATATTTATAAAGTGCTCATTGAATGCGCTTCTTATGTTGTGCCTATTGGATCCAGTCCCTCTCTTTAACTCCATTTTGGTATTTAGTCATCTTCTCTTCTTTATATATGCCAATTACTTGCCATTTTAACTTTTGGCTTTATTGTTACTATATGTTCTGATCAGATTGAGAATGCTCTTTTATATAATTGTATGCAATTTTCTTTTTGTTTTAAAAAACAATGACTTTGTAAGTGAATCATATCAAAGTAGTAAGACAATTATCCAATCACCAATTCTCTATTAGTTCTCTTAATTAGGAAAATATTTTTATAAAACTATGATGATTTTAATGAAATATTGAAAATTTTTCAATAATATTCTAAAATTTTAAACTTCAAAAATATCTAATCTACCAATGAAATCTGAAATATCACTAACATATCAGAAAAAGATCGAGGATATTTATAAAAAAAGGATTTCCAAAGGTTTTGTATCGCCACCTAACAAATGGGGATATTTTGCCAAATATCGTCCATAGATGAAATTATAGCATTAATATAAGTAGTCAAGGAGAAAAAGAGACGAATATGAAAATATTGATAATTGAAGGGCACTCAAAACTAGTGACAAAATGGTTGTAAAGAAGAGAGGCTGTCTCTTGGTCTTAAAAATTAAAAAAAAAAAAAAAACGTTTAGGTGGTTGACAAGAGATATAGAGCTGAAAGTATAATAGATTAAGGGCAGCTAATAGCATGGATAATGAATTAGCAAAGCAAAGGGTGGGGAGACGCCAAAAATTCTGGCCGTAGTTGTAAGACAACGAAAATCAAAGAATTGAGATGAGACTCTACATCTCTATGAGGGTATTGTATACAAGTATACTTCACAAATCTCCTATTTAACAAAATTGTTGAAAAAATTTTCCAAACCCTAAAGGTTGGCTAGCAGTCACCTTACCTTTTACATATAGATTGAAAAAAAAAAAAACACTTGATTCTAATATATAGTTATGTCCCTACTACATAGTAGAAAAATCTCTCTCATGATGTTTATATATATAATGTCAAGGCATCATTTCCATATTTTAGAGCCATCTGATCACCACTTTAGGGTAACCTTCCACTTCTAGGTCTCTATAATTAGGCATTCAATGTTTAGTAAAGGTCTTTACTACAGAAGATCTTGTTGATGAATGGAAAACTATGGAAAATACAATGCCTTAATGAGTGAGAGAACACTAGGAGATCTTCCCTATTTCCGGTTGCTTTGTATCCATCCAAGATCAAAACCCCTTTGAAACTGCTGTCAATGAAGGGAGGAGAACTTGTGGTTTTCTATTCAAAGGCCAAAATCAATCTTTCTACTGTTCCATTCTATTTTGCACTTGTTGGTAAGTTTTCTTTTGGACGACTGCCGTTTGCTAATGTTAGAGAGTTTTTGGTCAATACCTTTACCTTAAAGAAAGGTATAATGGTGACTACCTTGAATCAATTTCATGTTCTTTTACGTTTTAAGGATGAATCCGAGTTCCTTAACCTTTACAACGACATGTTAATTGCGCAAGTGATGTGTAGGGTGCTAAAGGTTGATATTATGACCAAGGGGCTTATGTGAACGAAAAGGCTTATTTGATGAAAAATAAACCTTTCAGGGTGTGGAATGGAATGGGAAGAGATGGTTTTTGGCATAAGATTACCTATGAAAATCTTCTACAATATTGCTCTTACTATTTCAAGCATGGGCACGAGGAGGCTGATTGACAAGTTAAGGCAAAGAAGGAGAATAAGGGGAAGGAGACCATCAAAGAAACTAGGGTTGTGGCTGAACAGGTGAATGCACAACAACAAAACCCTGCTATACTTGCTCATGTGATTAAGAATACTACAGGCAAACTAAACCCTAAGATGAAATATATGTATCAAAGAACAGGGAAGGAAATCCCTCTAGTTGTTAACTTGTCTCTAGAGTTGTGTAATTTGCTAAGTGCTGATAGTAACTCGGATTTTTCTCAAGGTGCATTGAGTGTGGAGCAGCCTACGGTCCTAATTAGGATCCTATTCCTAATGAACAGCCTACTACTCTTGGGGACATGTTAGGTGTTTAGGAAAATGACCCTATGACCAATGGTGCAAATCATGGTGCTCCTACACAAGTCCTGAAACAGTGTAAAATGGAATCAATAAAATGTGCTCAACAAAATGCGGATAAGATCACAAGAAAGGAATAGGAAGGTTTGGTGGAAGAAGATAATTAAAATGATGAGAATGGAACAAGCAAACAATGAAGAATGATGGTAGGTCATATTTTCCTTGGCGAAGGGTAAACCAATGGAGTCATGACGATCAAGAGATTGGAATCCATGACAATGTGAACCTCCTTTTTCATAGATCTCGTCATTATAGAGACAAGGATGTTCCTAATGATATATGCATAATGACCTATGTTCATATGGCTACTCCAGCGATTAAAGTTGATCCTATGGGTGAAACACAATTGAAACCGCTATACCTAAGGTGATAGTGGAAAGAAAGAGGAAGAAAAAGAATTTTAAATCTAAGAAGATCTAGGAGATGTCTATTCACAAAATGTCCATAGATCCTCTGTACCAAACAAAAGCTATGACCCTTGTTATTCTTAAATTACTCTTGTTCTTTTGTTTCTTAGTTTGTTTTCTTTTCTATTGAGCTTCGACACATAGTTTTGTTTTGATGATTAGGTTTCATGTCCCCCTCCTTTTAATTATTAATAAATTCTTCTTTTTTTAAAAAAAAAGGCATTTTGTGCAATGTTATTGTTATGACTAATTTTGTAGAGTTCCTTATGACCAATTGGACCAAAAAATAAAGTTGTTATTACCCCATTCCAGTCCTTAAAACACCCCCTATACCTAAAGGTCTAGGATTACTTGCAGTGCAACCATCAATTTTCAACTTGATTAAATCCATTTAAAGTGGATTCAGACATAGTACATGGCAATGTCTAGATGTTCATGTGTTCATTATGCATTGTTAACCTCTCGTAATATATTCTACATGGAAAGGTCTTTATTACCAAAATGTTTTCACTAATTGCCTCCTTGTTTTGTAATTTTTCAAGGAAAAGAAAACTTAGAGTTGCTTGCTTTTGGTTTGATTGTTTGTAGTAAGAGTAACTGCTATTAGAGTTATTTTAGGAGCTAAATTCCTTGTTTAATTTAAGTGTCCCTATGGGTTTGCCTTAATCTTTATGTAGTTAGAATTTTGTTTTAGGTAGTTTAAATTGGAGTCTAAAAAAGGAAATCCCATGCCCTTATGTTTAATCTATAGATAGAGATATTTCAATTAGAAATTTAAAGCTGAATCAATGGAATAAGAGCTAATTTCTAAGTTACATGTGGTATTAGTGTGACCTTCTTTCTCTTTTTTCCCCATACTAAATCAACAAGAAAATG